GTGGTGTTTGGTTTTCTGTTCCTGTGTTAGTTTGCTGAGAATGATGGTTTCTAGTATCATCCATGTTCCTGCAAAGGACACAAACTCATTCTTTTTTATGGCTGTATAGTATTCCATGGTGTATATGTGTCAATTTTCTTTATCCAGTCTATCATTGATGGACATTTGGGTTGGTTCCAATTCTTTGCTATTGTGGACAGTGCTGCAATAAACATACGTGTTCATGTGTCATTATAGTAGGATGATTTATAACCCCTTGGGTATATATCCAGTAATGGGATTGCTGGGTCAAATGGTATTTCTGGTTCTAGATCCTTGAGAAATTGGCACACTGTCTTCCACAATGGTGGAACTAATTTACCCTCCCACCAACCATGTAAAAGCGTTCCTATTCTGCACATCCTCTCCAGCATCTGTTGTTTCCTGACTTTTTAGTGACCACCATTCTAACTGGCATGAGATGCTATCTCATTGTGGTTTTGATGCATATCTCTAATGACCAGTGATGGTGAGCTTTTTTTCATGTTTGTTGGCCTCATAAATGTCTTCTTTTGAGAAGGGTCTGTTCATATCCTTTGCCCGCTTTCTGATGGAGTTGTTTTTTTCTTATAAATTTGTTTAAGTTCTTTATAGATTCTGGATATTAGCTCTTTGTCAGATGGATAGATTGCAAAAATTTTCTCCCATTCTGTAGGTTGCCTGTTCACTCTGATGATAGTTTCTTTTGCTGTGCAAAAGCTCTTTAGTTTAATTAGATCCCATTTGTCAATTTTGGCTTTTTTTTGCCTTTGCTTTTGGTGTTTTAGTCATGAAGTTTTTGCCCATGCCTGTGTCCTGAATGGTATTGCCTAGGTTTTCTTCTAGAGTTTTTACGGTTTTAGGTCTTAGGTTTAAGTCTTTAATCCATCGTGAGTTAATTTTTGTATAAAGTGTAGGAAAGGGATCCAGTTTCCATTTTCTGCATATGGCTAGCCAATTTTCCCAGCACCATTTATTAAATAGGGAATCCTTTCCCCATTGCTTGTTTTTGTCAGGTTTGTCAAAGATCAGATGGTTGTAGATGTGTGGTGTTATTTCTGAGGCCTCTGTTCTGTTCCATTGGTCTATATGTTTTGCTACCAGTACCAATCTGTTTTGGTTACTGTAGCCTTGTAGTATAGTTTGAAGTCAGATAGTGTGATGCCTCCAGCTTTGTTATTCTTGCTTAGGATTGTCTTGGCTATATGGGCTCTTTTTTGGTTCCATATGAAATGTAAAGTAGTTTGTTCTAATTCTGTGAAGAAAGTCAATGGTAGCTTGATGAAAGTAGCATTGAATCTATAAATTAGTTTGGGCACTATGGCCACTTTCATGATATTGATTCTTCCTTTCCATAAGCATGGAATGCTTTTACATTTGTTTAGGTCCTCTCTTATTTCCTTGAGCAGTTGTTTGTTGTTCTCCTTGAAGAGGTCCTTCACTTCCCTGGTAAGTTGTGTTCCTAGGTATTATTTTATTTTCTTTGTAGCAATTTTAAATGGGAGTTCTCTCATGATTTGGCTCTCTCTTTGTCTGTTATTGGTGTATAGGAATGCTTGTGATTTTTGCACATTGATTTTGTATCCTGAGACTTTGCTGAAGTTGCTTATCAGCTTAAAGAGTCTTTGGGCTGAGACGATGGAGTTTTCTAAATATGCAATCATGTCATCTGCAAACAGAGACAATTTGACTTCCTATCTTCCTATTTGAATATCTTTATTTCTTTCTCTTACCTGATTGCCCTGGCCAGAACTTCCAATACTATGTTGAATAGGAGTGATGAGAGAGGGCAGCCTTGTCTTGTGCCAGTTTTCAAAGGGAATGCTTCCAGCTTTTGCTCATTCAGTATGATACTAGCTGTGGGTTTGTCATAAATAGCTGTTAATATTTTGAGATTTGTTCCATCAATAACTAGTTTATTGAGTGTTTTTAATATGAAGGGGTGTTAACTTTTATTGAAGGCCTTTTCTGCGTCTATTGAGATAATCAAGTGTGTTTTTTTGTCATTGGTTCTGTTTATGTGATGGATTACATTTGTTGATTTGTGTATGCTGAATCAGCCTTGCATCACAGGGATGAAGTTTACTCGATTGTGGTGGATATGCTTTTTAATGTGCTACTGGATTTGGTTTGTCAGTATTTTATTGAGGATTTTCTTTTTTTGTTGTTGTGTCTGTGCCAGGTTTTGGTATCAGGATGCTGCTGGCCTCATAAAAAGAGTTGGGGAGGAGTCCCTTTTTTTTTTTCTATTGCTTGGGATAGTTTTAGAAGGAATGGTACCAGCTCCTCTTTGTACCTCTGGTAGAATTCGGCTGTGAATCTGTCTGGTCCTGGGCTTTTTTTCTTTTTTTCGGTTGGTAGGCTATTAATTACTGCCTCAATTTCAGAACTTGTTATTGGTCTATTCAGAGATTTAAACTCTTCCTGGTTTAGTCTTGGGAGAGTGTATGTGTCCAGGTTTTTATCTATTTCTTCTAGATTTTCTAGTTTGTGTTTATAGTAATCTCTGATGATAGTTTGTATTTCTGTGGGATCAGTGGTGATATTCCATTTATCATTTTTATTGTGTCTATTTGATTCTCTTTTCTTCTTTATTAGTCTGATTAGTGGTCTATCTATTTTGTTAATCTTTTCAAAAAACCAGCTCCTGGATTCATTGGTAAATCTCATTTTTATTTAAAGTTCCTTTATGCAAATGCCAAAGTCGTCAAACTTTGGGTTTGAGATTTTGTTTAAGGAAGTTAAATACAAGTTAGCAAACAAAAGTGAGTGTATTTTGAGTGTCTTTTTCTTTATTGTATTTGACCATACAGCTAAGTTTCTTGCTATACTATATTTATTAAGCAGCAATATGAATTTAAGGTAGCTGAGAGCATCTCAAATGAAAGTAATGAAGACTGAGAAAACTACATATCAAAGAAGAATCAGAAAATATATATAAAAATCTTAGAATTATTTTTCTTTTAAGAAAAAATGATGAGGACATGCATCAAAACTTTTTTGAATTCCCACTTCTTTTTTAAGGCCACCCAGATTTTTTTCTAAATATTTTCAAGATATGTCCAATTCTGAAACAATTCCCTCGATTAAACACCAAAAAAGTAAATAAATAAATAAATGAAAAACTACTACTTGTCCTCTACTCCGTTCCTGATAACAAAAACCTTTGTTTTCCAAAAACTTACAGGCATAAAATGTATATCATTAAAAGCAAATATAATTGCACCATTAAATAAGTATTATAGGAAATATGCTTGCTTTAGATGATGTGAAGCTATCTTTACCGCAGAGGTTAAAGCAACTAATGCGAATAAGACAAGCTTATTAACTTGTGAATTTTATTAAGAACAACATAATGGTCATCAACCAATGTTATGCATGCAAAACACAAGCTTGTGTTACTTGTGCTGTTGATTCTACTAAGTGGTTAATGAGTCAGTGACAATTTCACATTCAAATAGCCTGCTGAGTTATTTTTCTTTTAAATGGGTAAAATGCTTATTATGAAATAGAGAAATTAAGAATTTCTTAAGAAATCTGTTAAATTCTGAATTTTATTTATCAAACTCTGGCTCAAGTTTCTAATATCCTTTTAAATGTAAATGAGAAATATATATACATTGTTCCATTGATCATGAAGGAATGTGTGCCATGGGTTTGGTCAAGATATACACAATAAAACAAATGTTGTAAAAGGTTTATTTATTTAAAAGCTAATTTGTGCAATTCTGTGAATTTGCTATATCACAAGTAGATGAGATATCTAAATTAGAATTATTTCATTTTTTGTATCATGTAAGAATTGAGTATGAAAATCCTAGGTCAGAGAAATTAAAACATAAATTGACAAGCTTATACATTTCACTCATCTTTGTGTGGGATTCAGTCTAGGATCCCCAAAGTCCAATTTATTACATTATTGCAAAAATGAGTATCGTGTTGTCATAAAAGGCTCTGCAGTAACAAATGGCTATTTTAGCATGCTTATCGTCTGAACTTCCCCAGAGACCCTAGCACTGAAACCGTCAGGTGACCTCATCAATAGGCAGGTGGCAGTTGATCAATTCTAGACAAAGTTACTGGGAGAATAATTTGAATTACAAGAATTTTGCTGCCTATAGTATAGACAGAAGAGAGTAGAGGTCATCCATCTTTCGAATTTGCGTGCCAAGTAGTATTTTTTTTTGCTCTTATAAGGAATAGGGAAAGAGGCATTACTGGGAAACTCCAAAAGGACTCTGGAGCTGGAAATTCTCGTCATGTCTAGCACTTGGATCCCAGTCAGAAAAGTGTAGGTGCAAGAGAAGAGGCTAGTGCTCCTGTATATCTCGGGACATTCTGGAGTTCTTTTTAAAATACAAATTCCACAGTCAGTTCTGCTCATATAGCACCTTAATTAGCAGCTTAACTTAGCAAGAGAGTAGCAACAAAAGCAGGAGCTAATGTCTAGAATTTGGAGGAGAAGAGGGCTTTAATACAGTTACATACCAGCCTAACTACTTTGTATCTGTTGTATCTCAATGAAGATTGGGGGAAAATGTATAGGAAAGTTGCCTTTGTTACCAATAAAACAGATATGAACCCCCTTCACCCAGTTCCCTACCTGGATTTCTAGGAAAATTAGAATTTTAAATGCCAGTTGCAAATTAGAATTAGAAATTAAAATGCTGGTTGCAAAAATCATCGTTTTCTTAGGATAAAACTACTCTCCTTATGACCTCATGGTCTTTCATCTTATATTCATGGTGCTAATATGTGTGTATCGCTTATTATAAAATGCTTCTAACACTTTTTGGAAGAAGCAGGTATATAATTAATAAATAACCTTTTTACTAGATTTATCATCATGAGGTTTTGAATCTAGTTTCAGCCCAGTTTGTAGATTCACTTGTCAGCTGTAGAATGAGAGCTATATAAACTCAATAGAGGGGTTTTCACCATTAGGAAGCTAAAAGAATTGTTCTTTCGTATATCTATACCAGCACACTGTCCGTGAAGAAACGATGATGGTGATGACTGAAGACATGCCTTTGGAAATTTCTTATGTGCCTTCTACTTACCTGACTGAAATCACTCATGTCTCACAAGCCCTATCAGAAGTGGAACAACTTCTCAATGCTCCTGACCTCTGTGCTAAGGACTTTGAAGATCTCTTTAAGCAAGAGGAGTCTCTGAAGGTAAAAGCAAAGCACTTTCATTCAGATTTTACAAGGTGATCATACCAATCATTCATAATGCCAGAACAATTGTTACATTTTATACATCATGATGGCATTTTGACTTACATATGGAATTCTTAAAAATACTTTATAGTGTGATTAGCTTCAGAAATCTTGGGTAGAAGCACCTAAGTTAGAAGATGTATTTTACAATATTTAGTGTTGAGAGACATCCTAAAATGAAGAAATGCATGAAAATAATCATTTTATACATGCAGTACGGATAGAAAGGAACCCCCAGAAAACAAACTTATATGGAGGAACAGTTTATTCCTAGCTAATGGATTATTTTCCTTTCATTTTCCAAAAAGGGAAATTAGATTTTTCATTTATATCTAATGTGCATTGTTTTTGTTTTATATTTTTTGTATACTTATTCAATTTCAAATTAATGTCAATACCTATGCTATAATATATGGAATAAAATTGAATAGAAATCAATAAAATATTTTCTTTATAACTGCTAGTGAAAGGCTACCAACAAAATCCATCTGTTTTCAAACCACCAGCAGCAAGTTACTGCATTCTGAAGTAAGACAAATCATGATAAGGAAGTAGGCTATGAATTTTAGAAGGCAGTGTCTGAAGATAAATGAATGTAGGATCAAGAAAATGTACATAATAATGTGTCTCCAGATAATTTCGTGATCATACATTTTATACTCAAAATGAAATATTATAGTGTACCCAGAGCTTGGTATTTTCCAATGCAAATGGCATGTGATTATAGGCAAAAGATGAGTTTGCTATCAGCAGCACATATTAGCTAAAGTATTTTATACTCAAATGATTTCCTGGAAGCTCATTCTATGTCACACATTTGCCTGTATGAATATACAAATGGATAAAGCTATTTGTTTGTTTTGGAAATTGGTGTTGCAGTATCTCAGTGACTTGACTTTAATATCTTACATTATATCAAATAAGCTATAAAATTACACAGTAAAATAAGAGCTTCACAGATCTCTGGAACTATTCCATCCATGTCAGTATGGCACTGTTTCTTACTCTGTTTGAAGTAAAAGTCAAATCACTCATTGGTACAATGATGAAAAAAACCCTAATCGGTTAGTAAAATAAAGCTGACATGCCAGAATTCCTGTCATTATTTCTATTAACTAAGTTCTCATGGCAGCAGAGTTTGTAAGTTCATCATTGTCATTCAACATGTAAATTACTGCGAGTGAGCTAATATTCATTCCTTCCCAGGATCATGGACATTTGATTCAGGAGAGCAGTGACCCTGATCTTATTAAGTTGCCCATTGAATAACGGTCTCCATACCTCTTAACCTGGCATGCTCAGAATGGTAGACCCTTGGCTACACTCATAGTGGATCATTTGTTCATCCTGATCTATTTAATATTATTATAGCTGACATCAATCATAATAGTATTGATTACTGTGGTTTATAATATGGTATTATTGCAGGTTTAATTTAGCTAAATGGTTGAATCCCCATAAGATGCAGTTGTGGGCGTGATTTCTTCTCTCTCCCAACAAATCTCCAGCAAGTGAATGGGCTTCCTACCTTCATTGACTTTTTGAAGGGGGATAGTTTTGAGCTCAGTCTTTTCAATGAATATGTATTTCCTGTTAAAGACATTCATCATTGTCATTATCCAGTAGTAAAAATAGAAAAGCAGTGCATAAATTGTACAGCTGCTGGTTGGGAAGGTTTGAAATTAAATTGTGGTTGATTTTATTCCTGACAGATTTGCATGAATCATATTACAGAACTATAGTAGGTATTGCTGTGCTTTAACATACATATTTTTTTGAAAGTGCAACATAAAACAAATAATATGTAATAAGTTAAAAGAATTACTTTCTAAACAAAATACAACTAAAATAGCACATATGGTTTCAATAGATGTATTGAATTGGAAAGCTACCTAATCATGTTGACAGAGACTATGCAGAAAAACACCAACTTATATATGGAAATCTGCATTTAATAGCAAAAACACTAGCTAAGGCAGAGCTAGAGAGGAATGAGAAACATACACATAAGTAATATTTTCGTTCTTATTTCAGAGCCAATATTAGCAGTTAATTGATTGTGATTGTTTATATGTACAAAGTTAATAATGCTCATAACAGACAAGAGTACATAATTTTAGAAGAATTGCAATTTTTGGAAGTTTAGAACAATATTAAGTTGCATTTTATTTTTAAGAAAAAATCATTTTCGTGATAAAATTTTCCAAAATATAATTACTGTGTTAAACCATCAAATCCTGCTTTAAAGTATCTCATATGAAAGGATGAACATAGAATTTCTTAGCATCATAAGTTTTAAGTTACCAAAAGGTTTTCTCTTGAGAGAGTTAAATATTTGAAAGCTTATCCTAAAAGCAGAAATGATCCACTTAGAAGACTTAACTGAAAGGATTTATCATCATGTGTCCATATGCCTAATTTTACTGACAGCGTCAGTTTTATTGGAGTATGAAACACTCTTGGGACATCACTCGTATCATTTCCTGACTCAGCATGCCTTGTACCCTGACTGGCAGCTGCCAGGTCCAAGTGTCTCTGTTTGCCTTAGGGCTCTCTCTAGTAATCAAAGCTCATGAGTGTCAGGTAAAGCTCTGCATCCCCAATGTTCCCCAGCAAACCTCAACCAATAACAGATAACTTTTGGTGGATAAACACCACTACTCACTCGCTCTTCAGTTAGGGTAACTCTGAAGCATGATTTATGCTCTGACCCACAATTCTGTTCCAGGATTAAGACCCCATCGCACACAGTAAAAACCTGCCTCATAGGATACTTTTTACTTGCTCCCTGTCTTACCTTACACACACTTACCAGCACCTCCTTGGATCATTCCCAAATACATCCCTTGTCTTAGAATCTGCTTTTAGGGGAACTCTATCTAGGATATTTTTGAAATAAATAGTGATATATTTACTGTGTAGTTAGCATCTACATAGAGAAATTCTTAGAAATAGTTCATGCAGGCCGGGCGCGGTGGCTCAAGCCTGTAATCCCAGCACTTTGGGAGGCCGAGACGGGAGGATCATGAGGTCAGGAGATCGAGACCATCCTGGCTAACACAGTGAAACCCCGTCTCTACTAAAAAATACAAAAAACTAGCCAAGCGAGGTGGCGGGTGCCTGTAGTCCCAGCTACTCAGGAGGCTGAGGCAGGAGAATGGCGTAAACCCGGGAGGCGGAGCTTGCAGTGAGCTGAGATCCGGCCACTGCACTCTAGCCTGGGCGACAGAGCAAGACTCCATCTCACAAAAAAAAAAAAAAAAAAAAAAAAGAGTTCATGCCTTTCGTGTGGAATTCTTCAAGTGATTCTGCTGCTCCCTCATTCAGGGAATCCTTAGCTGTTCAATTAGGCCTTGGTATCAATAAATGTGAATTTTTAGGACAAAAACAAGAACATAGCTTATAATAAGAATGACAACTATGATTTACCTTTTGCAATAATAAGAATCAATTTACAGCTAATATTATTCTTTATGGTGGAGTGGAATGTTTTCACCCTAAGATCATGAACAAGACAAGGATATCTGCCCACTTCCCTTCAGTATTCAACATTGTACTGGAGTTTCAAACCATTGAAAGGAGGAGGAAGGAAGGGAGGAAGTAGGGAAGAAAGAGAGTGAGGAAAGGAGGGAGGGAGAATCGAAGAAAAGAAATAAGAAAATAAGGAGAAAAAGAAGGAGGAAATAAATGGAAGGAAAGTAAAAATATCAGGCACACATCATTTCAATTGTCTCATCAAAACCAACTATAGTGCAGATGCCTTGTTTGGAGTGAATAAAATGTGCTATACTTTGGGTAACCAAGAGGATGATGAAAAAATGTGGCCATATGAAGAAAGCTCACAGGTAGGAGACATGGTAGTCCTAATGTAGATTTTAAATAGGATTAAGAAATAGAGACAACCCTTGTTCAACTTCAACACCACAAGGGAAAGCTGGTAGTGAGCTTATAAGCCAAAGACAGTGTGAAGCAAAGTCGTTCAAACCCTCTTGAGTTCAGGTTTTTTGCATTGGTCTTGAGAAATAAAAAATTGTTAGGACAAGTAAATCTAAGGAATGCAGATTGATTCATTCCAAAAATATTTATTGAGCTCTTAGTATGGACCACACAATATTCTAAGTGCTTATAAAACAGTGAAGGAGACTAATGAATCTTTGCCCTCATACAGCTTTTATTATAACATTGGGAGACAGAATAGAAGCAAGCAAACAAAGAAAAATGATAAGTAAATATCATGTATTGCTAGGTGATACGTATTTTGGGGGAAAAAACAAAACAGAATCTGTTAAGGGGATATAGGACCACTACAGGGGTAGATGTAGGTATAATTGAAAGTGGTGGGATTGCAATTTCAAATAGGGTAGAAATGACCTTTGAGCAAAGATTGGAAGAAGGTAAGGGAGTCAGCCATGGAGTCTGAGTAAAGGCCCAAATGTGCGACCGAGCTTTTCTTAATCAAACACCAACAAGAAGGCCAAAGTGGCTGAAGCAAAACAAGCCAGCAGAAGAGTAGAAAGAGATGAGGTTATGGGAGTTGTGAGTGTCCAGATTGTGGAGGGCCTTTGGGGCCATTGTAAAGAAGATTCTAAATGAGATGAGAGCAGTTGTTAAGTTTTTGAGCAGTTGAGTGGCACGATCTCAATCATGTTTTAAAAGGATCACACTGGCTTCTAGGTTGAGAGTAGAACTGTAGGGGGCCAATAGTAGAAGCCACAAGAGTTGAAAAAGATAGATGCTGGTGGCTTGGACTCAGTCAGTAGTGACAGAATGTCAGATTCTGGAAATATTTTCAAATTAGAGATAGCAGATTTATTTCTCTGGTCACACAGAAACTTAAGTATGTGTCTATGAAAACCCATTCTCAGCAGACTTGGGGCCGAGTTAGAATTTCGGTGACGTAAAACTTAGCAGAAGATCCCTTGAGAGATGTACGATTTCTTCTCATATTTTAGGCT